GGGGGGGGGGAAAAGAGGGAAGACCAAAGTTGTTGGGGGGGGGAAGGGACCCCCAAAATTAAGCCAATAAAATAAAACAGCATGGCCCCTTTTAAGTACGAGGGGGGAGAGGTTGACCCCTAAGACCCAGGGAAGGCATTGCTTTCCCCTTGCTTCAGGGCTTTTTGCTGGCGGCCATCATGTTTTCTTGATCGAGCCACCCCTCCCCCTCAAGGAAAGCAGAGGGTCTGGGAGCCGGGGGCCCGGGTGAGGGGGGAGTGGGCCCAGTTGCCGAGTGTGTTTTAGGATTGCCTGGTGTCCGGTTTTTTCGCCTCCTGGCAGGGAAAAAAAAAGAAAATACTGGACATTTCAGGTATCGGTATTTTCTAAAAATTTTTACTGGACAGGAGGTTAAAAAACCGGATTGACCGGACACCTGGGAGCCCTAATGGTGGGTTTAGTTACGGCTCATTTTAACTGGTTATTTGCAACATAAGATGATTTTGTTTCAAAGGACCTGTGGCACAGCAGAGGGCTGCTCCAGCCCACCGGTTAACCAGTTACCAGTGAGCAGTGCTTTTTTTCGTATATTTTTTTTTTTTAAAAAAAGGTGCTGGTACTCCAGGAGAAAAGTTGTTGAGCTCTGACTGAAGATGCCAGTATTACGTACCGGGCAGTAGCATCATAAAAAAAGCATTGCCAGTAAACATCCACTGGTAAAGGTGATGCTTACCAGTTAACCAGCCATTGATGACTGCTTGTTGAGTCCAACAGTCTAGACAGCTTTCTATCCACCTATCGTCCATTTATCTAATCCATACTTCCGTAAATTGCTGGCAAGTATACTGTGGGAGACCATATCAAAAGCTCTGCTAAAGTCAAGATAGATCACGTCCACCACCTTCCACTTATCTACAGAGCCATTTACCTTGTCATAGAAGGCAATCAGGTTTGTCAGGCGTGACTTGCCCTTGGTGAATTCATGTTGACTATTCTTGATCACTTTCCTCTCTTTCAAGTGCTGCAAAATGGATACTTTGAGACTCCCCTTCATGATTTTTCCGAGGACTGAAGTGAGGGTAACAGTTCTGTGGTTCCCTGGATTGTCCTTATTCTCTACATTTGCCTTTTTCCAATTGTCCAGGACCTCCCCTGATCAACACAAATTTTCAAATACAATGGCCAAAGGCTCCACAATCATATCAACTAATTCCCTCGGTACCCTCAGTTGCATTGGATCCAGCTCCATGGATTTGTCTATGTTAAACTTTTCTAAATAGTTGTTAACCTATAGCTGTTGCTACAGATGTACCCTGTGGATTTAATTTCACTGTCTGGTTAGTTAGTTTCTCCTTTCTGCATTAGCCTTTCACATAGTAGCAGGTGAAACTAATCTTACTACAGGTTGTGCCTCTAAATCTGGGACTCTCTGGTCTAGCAACATCCATGATCTGGCATGAATCATAGAGCTGGAAGAGACCTCCGAAGGAAATCAAGTCCAGCCCCCTACCCAAGGCAGGACCAATCCCAACTAAATCAACTCAGCCAGGGCTTTGTCAAGCCGAGACTTAAAACCTCTAGCGATGTAGATTCTACCACCTCCCTAGGTAACCCATTCCAGTGCTTCACCACCCTCCTAGTGCAATAGTTTTTCCTAATATCCAACCTGGACCTCTCCCACTGTAACTTGAGACCCTGGCTCCTTGTTCTGCCATCTGTTGCTACTGTGAACAGCCTTTCTCCATCCTCTTTGGAACCTCCCGTCAGGAAGTTGAAGACTGCTATCAAATCTCCCCTCACGCTTCTCTCATGCAAACTAAACAAACCCAAATCCCTCAGCCTCTCCTCATGGGTCATGCGCTCCAGCCCCCTAATCATTTTGGTCGCCCTCCGCTGGACCCTCTCCAATGCGTGCACATCCTTTCTATAGTGGTGGGGCCAGAATTGGACACAGTACTCCAGATGTGGCCTCACCAGAGCCGAATAAAGGGGAACAATCATTTCTCTGGATCTGCTGGCAATGCTCCTCCTAATGCACCCTAATATGCCATTAGCCTTCTTGGCTACCAGGGCACACTGTTGACTCATATCCAGCTTCTCATCCACTGTAATCCCCAGGTCATTTTCTGCAGAACTGCTACTTAGCCATTCAGTCCCCAGCCTGTAACAATGCTTGGGATTCTTCCTTATCAAGTGCAGGACTCTGCACTTACCCTTGTTGAACCTCATCAGATTTCTTTTGGCCCAATGCTCTCATCTGTCTAGGTCACTCTGGACCCTATCCCTGCCCTCCAGCGTATTTACCTCTTTCCCCCTAGGTTAGTGTCATCTGTGAACTTGCTGAGGGTGCAATCCATCCCCTCATCCAGGTCATTAATAAAGATGTTGAACAAAACCGATCCTGGAACAGATCCTTGGGGCACTCCTCTAGAAACCAATCGCTAACCTGACATCAAGCCGTTGATCACTCCCATTGGGCTCGACAGTCTAGCCAGTTTTCTACCCATCTTACAGTCCATTTATCCAATCCATATTCCTTTAACTGGCTGGCAAGAATATTGTGGGAGACCGTATAAAATGCTTATGCTTAAGTCAAGGTCTATCACATCCACTGAGTTTCCCATATCCACAGAGCCAGTTACCTCATCATAGAAGCTAATCAGATTGGTCAGGCACGACTTGCCCTTCGTGAATCCATGCTGACTATTCGTGATCACTTCCCCTCTTCCAAGTGCTTCAGAATGGATTCCTTGAGGATTCCTTGCATGATTTTTCTGGGGACCAAAGTAAGGCTGACTGGTCTGTAGTTTCCTGGATTGTCCTCCTTCCCTTTTTTAAAGATGGGCACTACATTTGCCTTTTTCCAATCATCCGGGATCACTGAAAACTCATGGAGATCAGGAAAGATAATGGCCAAAGGCTCCGCAATAAAATTTGCCAGCTCCCTCAGTACCCTCGAATGCATTAAATCCAGGCCCATGGATTTGTGTATGTTTAGCTTTTCTAAATAGTTCTTAACTTGTTCTTTTTCCACCAAGGGCTATCTACCTCCTTCCCATACTGCGTTGCCTAGTCCATTTGTCTGGGAGCTGACCTTGTCTGTGAAGACCGAAGCAAAGAGAGCATTGAATACTTCAGCTTTTCCCCCATTATCTGTCACTAGATTACCTCTCTCATCCTGTAAGGGCCCCACACCCTCTCTGATCACCCTCTTATTGCTAACATGCCTGTAGAAACCTATCTTGTTATCCTTCACTTCCCTTGCTAGCTGCAATTCCAATTTCACTTCTGCCTTTCTGATAACTCTCCTGCACTCTCGTGCAAAATATTTATACTCCTCCCTAGTCATCTGTCCAAGTTTCCACTTCCTGTAAGCTTCCTTTTCGTGTTTAAGCTCACCAAGGATGTCCCTGGTAAGCCAATCTGGTTGCCTACCATATTTGCTTGTCTTGCTGCGCATTGGGATGGTTTCTTCCTGTGTCTTTAATAAGGCTTCTTTAAAATACTGCCAGCTCTCCTGGACTCCTTTCCCCTTCATGTAAGCATCCCAGGGAATCCTGCCCATCAGTTCTGAGGGAATCCCCCCCATCCGTTCTCTGAGGGAATCAGTCTCCTTCTGAAGTCCAGGGTGTGTATTTTGCTACTCTCCTTTCTTCCTTTTGTCAGCATCCTGAAATCTACCATCTTATGGTCACTGCTTCCCAGGTTGTCACCCACCTCTACTTCCCCTACTAGTTCTTCCCTGTTCATGAGCAGCTGGTTAAGCTGTTCATGGCCCCTGGTCAGTTCCTTCAGCACTTGTACCAAGAAGTTATCCCCAACATTCTCCAAAAACTTCCTGGATTTTCCGTGTGCATCTGTATTGGTCTCCCACCAGATGTCAGGGTGATTAAAATCGCCCATGAGAGCCAGGACCCGCAATCTGGAAGCCTCTCTCAGTTGTCCGAAGAAAGCCTCGTCTACCTCATCCACCTGATGTGGTGGTTTATAGCAGAGGCCAACCACAACATCACCTCTGTTGCTTCCACCTCTAAACTTAACCCATAGACTCTCAACAGTCTTTTTCTCTCTCTCTAAATACTGAAGCTCTACGCAATTGTACTGCTGTCTTACGTACAATGCAACTCCTCCTCCTTTTCTCCCCTGCCTGTTCTTCCTGATCAGTTTATACCCTTCTATGACAGCGCTCCAGGCATGCGACTCATCTCACGTAGTCTCTTATTCCAGTCATATCATAGTTCTTTGTCTGGGCCAGGGTTTCTAATTTTTTCTGTTTGTTTCCCAGGCTTCTTGCATTTGTGTACAAACACCTTAGATAACCAGTTGATCGCCCTGTCTTCTCCTTCTCAGAGTTCCTTCTTTTTTGCTTGTTCCTCCTTGTGTTCCTTCCTTGTCCGACTTCCTCACTTACCTCAGTTACCTCAGGGCTTTGGTCACCGTCCCCCAACAAACCTAGTTTAAAGCCCTTCTCACTAGGTTCACAAGCCTGCCCATGAAGATGCTCTTTCCTCTCTTGGCTAGGTGATTCCCATCTCTTCCTAACAATCCTTGTGCCCGGAACAGAGTCCCATGGTCAAAGAAACCAAAGCCCTCTCTCCGACACCACCTGCATAAGCATGTATTTACTGTCTCAATTTGACGATCCCTATTCGGACCTTTTCTTTCAACCAGAAGGATGGATGAGAACACCACTTGAGCTTCAAATTCCTTGATCCTTCTTCCCAGTGCAGCATAATCTGCTGTGACCAGCTTAAGGTCATTCTTGACCATATCATTAGCTCCTACATGAAGAAGCAGGAAGGGGTAGTGATCTGAAGGTTTAATTACCTTTGGAAAACTCTTGGTTACATCCTGAATACGAGCTCTCGGTAAGCAGGACGCTTCTTGAGATTGCAAGTCTGAACGGCAGATGGATGACTCAGTCCCTCTTAGAAGGGAGTCCCCGACAACCACCACCCGTCCACAATGTTTCACAGTCCGAGAGGGCCGGAGTGCTGCAGGGGGTGGGAGCCCTGGAGCTAGCATGTGACTTAGTTGGCCCGTGATTGGGGAGCCAGGAGCCAGCATGTGTGTAGTTTGGGCTGAGAGGGGGTCATAGGGAGCCAGCACTTGGCTCCACTGAGTTGCAGGAGCCAGCGTGCACTTCAGCTGGGCTGTGGGGTAGTTGGTGCCAGGAGTCAGCTCACGGCTCAGCTGGGCTGAGTAGGGGCTGGGAGCTGGTGCAAGGTTCAGTTGGGCTGTGGGGCGAGCCATGAAGCCCGGTGAGAGGTAGGGCGATAGCAGAGGGCATGAAATGTCCTCCCCTAGTCCAGAAAAATCCCTCATCTGGGACCAGTCAGTCTTAAGGGTGCCGGACCAGGGATGTCCAACCTGTGTGTGTGTGTGTGTGTGTGTGTGTGTATATGTATTAGAAATGTTTGTCCATCCATATGTTAGTCCAAATGTTAGTCTATTTGTTCAAGAACTCCTCCTGAACAGTAAGAACTAGGACCAATACATTTGGTATACAGCTTTGTCTTAAACTTAAAGCAAGGTAAAGATTTGGTAGTGCCAGCACAATGAGATGTACCTGGAATTCAAGAGTCTCATACAAAGGAAAGGGGGGAGGTCTAGTAGGAAGAACAGTTATACTATAGAATGATCACAGGGGGCAGGAAGGGGCCAGAGATGCAGGCTGGGACAGCTATAAACCCATTTAGATCGCTGGACAATTATCTACTATATTTCAGAGAGTTTGTCTGTCTCCCCGTCAGGGGACCTGCACTCCTCTCCCGGCTGTGCATGCTTCCATGGTGTCTCCCATGATTCCCCCAGCTACTGCAGTGAGAGTAGGCTGGGGTTGTCCTCTCTTCCCCAGGACTGTCTGCATACTGAACCCTTTATCCCCATCCCCACCCCAGAACAATGATTTGAATGAAGGGAAAAAACCTTATTGGAGTTAAGGACCAGAGCAATGCCTCATAAATCTAGTTATAGAGAGATTTGTAAAATCACTTAAGTAACCATAGTAACTCAGTCAGGGTTAGTGTTTGAAATGACACAATATTTTGAAAGTGACCTAGATGTGAGACTGCTTCACTTTTTATGAGAAATTAGACGGTAGTAATTGTCATTCTTTCTCTTGGTCAGTAGGAAAGGGAGTTCTTGAAGAACTATGTGCAGCGGATAGTGGATGTAAGGCCTACCCTGGTTCTGGTGGAGAAGACTGTATCCCGAATTGCCCAGGACATGCTTCTGGAACATGGCATCACTCTAGTTATCAATGTCAAGCCAGTGAGTGCTTGGTCCCAAAAGAGTAACAGTGTGTGATACTTCTAAGGTATCATGTTTGAGGAGGCAGTTTTTAAGCTGGCCCCCAGGAGAACCAGCTCCCGTGGATCCAAGTGGCCCCATCTTCTCCCTGTCGCCGCCTTTGTATCAGGCTCATTGGTTAACTGTGTACATTATCGCATTCCTAGTTGCTATAAAGCAGTGGTCTCCAACCTTTTTACACCCAAGATCACTTTTTAAATGACAGAAAAAGCCAAGATCTACTGCCCCGCCCCTTCCTTGAAGCCCCACTCTGCCCTCTATATTTTCCTCCTCTCCATCACTTGCTATCCCCAACCATTATACTGCAGCTTTTTTTCCAAATTCTTTTGTAGGAAGAGGTTTTTCCAACATTTGGCCTGTTTAGACTGGACCAAATGTCAGAAAAACCCGTTCTTTTGGAAGCCTCCTTATTCCTTGTGGAAAGAGGAATATAGGGGTTACCGAAAGAGCATGTTTGCTCTTCCGCTAAAAAAAGTGGAAGAACAAATGCATCCCTGGATGCAGAAGAGTTTTTCTGGGATACCTCTGGAATCCTAGAAAAACTCCTGCAGTCTAGCTGTACCTTCACTGAGGCAGGATGTGTGGGCTCTGGGGTGGGAATGAGGGGTTTGGCTGTGGGAAAGGGTGAGAGGTGCAAGCTCTGGGAGGGAATTTGGATGCAGGAGGAGGTGGAGGAGGGGATGCTGGCTCAGGGAGGGGGCTGCAGGCTGGGGAGTGTTGGGGTCAGGTGGAGGGTTGGGTACTGAGCAAGCCACAGGGTTGTGGATGTGTGCGTGCAGGAGTGTCGGCTGGGGGATGGGGGGCTAGGGGTATAATAGGAC